GGTGATCTGGTTGATTTCACATGTTGGTGAGATTAGAGATCCCCAGAGACTCAATACTACACACTACATGCAACGATACCTAGGTATGTCTTTACCATTAACGGTAACAAACTACACAAAAGTCCTAATGGTATCATAATAGAAGTTAAGTAATTATTTATAATTCTATTGAAATGTCAAACTACAAAAGTACATTACAATATATTTACATTGAAATGCTTGGGGCTCACTCACTCCAGGGAGGTTACTATCACTATATTTGCTCCCAAACGAGAGCCAGCAATGCCTAGGGAACAGATCTATGCATCAAGTCTATATTGTAACAGACAGACTGCCACATTCATTTCAAAAGCAGATATACCATGTACTGAAACATACACATTTTACATTTGAAGGAACAGAATCTTCATTCTTATCGAGAAAAGGAATTACAAGTCATTCCGATATAAAAGATAACACCCTGGTAGAGAGGCTCACATCTCCAAGCAAACAAAACACTTAGCATAGCTGGTATAGAATTGAGAGACAATTATTCTTTCAAAAGGAAATAAAATCTAGGTTCAGGAAGAGAAATTAAATTTGCCTGGACTACCAAGCTATATTTAAATATGGCCGACTAGTTACTGAGGTTAACATACTTGTCCAAGGAAAGCTCCCCAGAAGATGCAACCTGGTGCATAAGGTGTGCAGATAGAGAGGATTTATAACAAACGCCTTGCATTAAAGCTTATAGCAAATCAGCTAGTTAAGGTGAGAAAAAGACCTTTCCTATTTACATTTAACTAGAATAATCAGGTGAAAATAACCAAAAATAAAAACCCATGCCTAACCTTATGAATATATTCCTAAATGGAAATTTTTTGAAGTTTCATCTCTCACTCGCTCACTTTTTTACAACATCTAAAAGATAATACAAATATCTTACTTTTTAAATTGCTGTGAATAATTGCTTCTGTTTGTGTATCATCTTAACCTGTTTTGATTTAAGAATGATTTCATAGTAACCGTGCAACACAGCTTCCTTCTCCAAAAGGCTTAATTTGACGTATAAAGCAGGGACACCTCAACAACTATCCTATATCTGTATCCTATATCTGTAGCACATTCTACAATATACACAAAAGGTATAGTAATACCTTTTGTATAGTATAGTATAGTGCCTCCACACTAGACAAAGAGTTTACACTGTATTTGGAAAGAAGGACATGTCCTCAAGGACGAGCAGCAATCACGGAGGCTCTTTAGTAATCATGAAAACACCGTCCATCTACAAAATATAAAGCTCCTCAAGGAGAGCATAAGAGATGCAAGGCTGGTAAAAGTTGTATTTGCCTCTTCTTATGATGAAAAGACTAGGTGTTCTCGGATGCAAGAGTCCTTCTCTCTCTCACATAGCTGGGAATACATCACATAATTAGAATGCTTCCTGAGGTTATAGGCTTATTTGCCCACACAGCTACAATTACACGTTAACTGACCATACAGTTACTCATGAGTAGAAGTAGAATCATTTTACATATCACCTATTTCTTCTGTTCTGGAAAGGAAAGGGGGAAGCATTCCCTGTGGACCACATCCTCTAATTGTTTCAGCTGGGTTTGTTTGTCTTATTAAGAGCTACTTCTGAAGACTCTCACAAGGAATATCCATCTTGCAGTACAAAATGTGAAGCTAAGACATTATGTTTTAATGACTTGATTTGTCAGTGCCTGAAATCCACATACAAATGTGTCTGCACAGAAATAAAACCTAAGCCTGTATGACAGCCTGCAGTCTTGAGATGAACTCAGTGGACAAGAGCAAACACCTTTTGCATCTCCTAACTACTGTTAGGTAGAGCTTGAAACTTGTAGGCTTATAGTCACTTATTACTATCTTCCACGTGGCTAGGAGAAGAAACTTCACGTGGAAAGCATGTCCCAATTCTCCTGTTCAAAGTGGCTCAGATGCCCAAGAGTTTCATCTTAGTTATGAGAAATTGACACACCCAAGAATCCAGGCAGACAAAGCTGGTTTATCAGGTACACGAAGGTACATTTGTACACAAACCTGTATTTCAGAAAAGGCATAGATGACTAACTCACTAACAGCTGCAGTTACACCTAAACAGCTTGATTGCTTAAGGTGCTCAAGAAACTTGATCCAAATTAACTAAAAAAATGAAATCATATCATACTTCCATGGGGACATTTTAATTCAGAGTAAAAAACCGTCCCCAGAAAAACTTCACATGGGCTAAGCATTCCACTTTAGAAGCAAATTTAAATTAGTTTTAGAGCTTGTCTATATGTCAACAAGAAGAAAATTAGTATCTACTCACAGGCCTTCTTCTTTGATTATTTCCAACAGAACTGCTGGTGTTGTCTTAGACTTGCGCTTCTCATCAACTGGAAAACAGAGGAATCAAACTTTTAGCTTATTCCAATTCTCATCATCTTCAAATTCCTGTCCCTCCTATTTGAACATACCCTAAACAGTACATTTCATCTTCCTCATACAGGACAGACCTTCCCTAGGAGTGCAGCAATTCCAGAAAGCACCTTCTTATTTTTGCTTAGTAGATAAGGCTGCTTGCTTTTTTTTATTCTTGTCCAGACTAGCAGGTTCCTTTGGTAACTGCAGGTACCCTTGTGACCAGTTCTTAACCTTGTAGTTGTGACATGAACCGCAGGAAGGTTCACCTTACGTAAGGAACTAGAACTGGAGCTGCCCCACTACTCTCAAAAATCATTCCTTCGTCTCCAGATTAGCACTGCTAGCAAAGCCATCTTTTACAGTTAACTACAAATGGCCAGGCCTTGACAAAAAGCTGCATTTTCCTGTGTTGAAAGCTGCTGAAAACAATATAGTGCTAATTTCTCACCCACAGCACTAGAATAACAGATGTTGTGCCCAGCCTGAAGTTTGGGAAATCGTCTAGCTGCAGATCACACAACCTCTTAGCTAATTAAGAGGTTGCTCAATACTTTCAGAAGGGAGAACTTCTTTCAGCTAGAAACATTCAATTAATGGTTAGCATTACATGATTAAGATCCTTGATCTTACAGAAGAGTTCCCCCTACAATCACCTGTAAAAGTGCCCAAGCCAAGATGAACAGAAACACCATCATACAAAGAAACTGGGGTTTGACACTTACCCTGAAGTCTAAGCCTAGCTGTATCCAAAGGAAAAAATACAGTCATTGCAGTCATACTGCCCTGAAAAACAAAATAAACTGGCTATATAGAGTATCAAACGCTTCTACAGATGCCTGCCAGATGCCTCCCTGTAAACTGAGCTTTAGTCCCAAACCTATAAAAGAGTTTTTCACTTTCAAATTGCTAGATCAAGTTAAAACCATTAGAAGCTTTTCACCCAAGCAGAAAGTTTTTTGAAGTCTGAGAGCAGATAGAAGGGGAAGCAAGTGGCAGACATATTGCACTCTCACTACCTCACATTAGCCTCAGTATCCTAGCTCTGATTTAAAAAAAAAAAAAAAAAGGGGGGCAGAATGGAGAAAATGGGGAAATATAGCATACACAACCATTGTGTTATAAATACATTTTTTATTTCAAAACAAAAGCCAAGATTCCACATCACTTACATTCATTAAAAAGCCTGATAGCAGGTTTTTTTTCAGGAGTTAGTTTAGCATTGTACCAAAGTCCAGGTCGCCAATGAAGTGCTGCCTACCAAGACCTCCCCCTAGATCATGAATGAATGTATAATGAATTAAGCCATGGCCCAAATGTTACACTTTTTGTGCAGTATAACATTAAAGCCTCAATAAATGACTAAACATCATATTTATAAGTACTTTTTATTATATACAAGTAACTGTTCCCTCTCCTTCCTCCACCACTGAGCTTTATCATCCTTTAGCATTTTAACATAACACTGCACAGCTTAGGAAAAACAAAACAAAATCTAATGCAAGAACCACTCAGCTTGGCTGAAACATGTTAACATACTACAGTAGTATTAGACTAATTAAGTCTCTGCTAAAGTTGAGGTTCCACCAATAGCTCCCCCAGCAGCAGCAAAGTTGAAGGCCTCATCCCTCCACTCCTACCTGTCTCCAAGTGTTTACTGTCACCGCTATAGCCCTCTTTTAGTTGTAGCCAGACATCCCTTAAACAAGGTGGGAAGAACCAGGCTACAGAAAAAAATCACTGGAGAAGCATTTAAAGCTCAGGACACAGCCTGAGTTTTTTTTCTAAACTGCATTTTGACAGACACTTAAGTGAATTTTGCCTCTGAAAGTGCTCCCAGGCAGTCTGTGTGGCTTTTTTACCACGAGCAAAGGAGCTTGGATTTTGTTGCTCATGTCTCAACAGGACTTGAGTTTCTCCAGCTTTTCTGGAGACATGAACACAAACACTTGGCCATTATTACCTGATCATTTCAACCCACTTAGTTTGGGCTCTAGCCAAAAGGGATGGTTCAAATCTGCCACCTCCCTACCCTGTAATCTGCTCATTTTTGGTATCAACTGTGTACACAGCTGGACAGCAAGTAGAATCAATTTTCATCTGATTGAAATTTTGAAAGAAAAAAAAAAGACAGAATTTTCAGTCAGAGGGCTAATATCAGCATCCAAAGAAGGGGCAGGGAGAGCTATAACTTCCAAATATTTAGCTTCTAATGGCAGCTACATTCCAGCAACTCTGAAACTAATTTCAAACTAGTTATACTTAAGTACAATTTGCCACAAGGCTGTACAGCCACTAACAGTTGCAGTCTTTCCCTGCTCCTGGCTTTATTCTCAATCTTCAGAAGCAAGTGAGGGAGCCGATGCTACCTCATTTACCCTTCTTCAGTCCTCCAAAAGTGAGACTTGTGCTCAGTGCTGCTCTCCATGCAGTTCACTGTTCAGCTACACATATCACAGAATCATAGATGGTTAAGGCTGGAAGGGACCCCTAGAGCACATGGCACAGGGTGACATCCAGGCGGGTTTTGAATATCTCCAGAGAAGGAGATTCCATAACCTCTCTTGGCAACCTGTTCCAGGGCTCTGTCACTCTGACAAGAAATTTTTCCTTAAGTCCCTGTGGAGCTTTTGGTGCTTCAGTTTATGGCCGTTTCCTCTTGTCCTATCGCTGGCCACCACTGAAAAGCAGCTGGCCCCATCCTCCTCACCCCCTCCATTAAGGTATTTATATACACTGATCAGATCCTTTCTCGGCTTTCTCTTCTTCAGCCTGAACAGGCAACTAGACTTTCAAGCACAGCAAAGAGCAAAGCAATGAACTGCAAGTAGATGGTTTCTGCAGGAGCCAAGCTGCACCTGAACACACTGAACAACAAGGCATGTGCCCCTCACAGGTACAAAAGCAGCAAGCTAATCAAAAATCATGCCCCTCTACCAGCCCCAGTTTTGTCAGGTTCTTATCTGCCAAGCAAATGGCCTACACCTGTTGTGATGTATTAAAAACTGATGGGAATCAGGTAAAACGGGACATAATCTTCACACATATCGAGAAGAACTAAGTGGCTAATTTTCATGCTCAGGATCAGAGAAGAAAATGGAAAACAAAAGATAATGTGGGCTGTCTTCCCCTTCATTTGTCAAATGGAAGAAATCAAACTCGGCAAAGCAGAGTTCATCTTCTCCCAGTTGCACAAACAGAACAACTCAACTACATGGTCAGAAGGTTGCCAGAAGCATCACACAGAGGGGGATCGGATCATCTGGCTTGGACTAAGGTGGAGGATAGAAATGATTAGACCAGCCCTTTCCTCAATGACAAAAACTCTTGAGATGGGCTCAGGTGCCTCCTTAATCTACACTTCAGGCCAGCAGGGAACACAGCTTGGTATTAGTGATTGCAGATAATGTATAAGCAAGTACTTGACACCACACTGTTCCAAGGGGGAGACTCCACCTTCTGCCTTCCCACAACCTTCCTCTCAGGACTCAAAACAGTAGTTTGCCGGTTCAGACTGCGCTATCACTGAATAACTGCTGCAACATGTAAAAACTGGCTTAAGCAATCTCAGCTCTTGGTCAACCATATCTGCATCTCTGCCTCCTCCTTTCTGGTGGCGAAACTATTTGAGGCACGACAGGGTGATGCAGACAAGGTAACTAATCTGGTTGAAAAATAACTTCTTCACTGACCTACTTTTTTTGTCAGATCAGTGCCCCCAGCTGGCCACAAACAGGGCAACCTCAGCTACTGGGCAGTAACAGGGTGGCAGTAAATGGCTAAAGCAAATGGCTTGAGGCGACTCTATTACTAGAGGATAACAGAGTTCAAAGTACTGCTCAAACTTTTGCTGGCTTTCCAGAGGCAAAAAAAAATCAAACCAAACAAAAAAGCCTCACAGGTTTACTATTAAAAAAGCAGGTTTATTATTACAATCACACTCTTACAGAGTTCTCATACATATAGCATTAGGAGAAGGAAAGTTACTTTATAGCTATATGCAGATACATAAAATACATACATAATTCATTTAAAGTCCATAGAATATCTAGCATTTTTTGTTGTTATTGCTCATAAAACTATTATTTTATTACAAGCGGAGACTAGGTAGACTAGAAGACATGTGAACTTTCACTAAATTAGAACAGGAGAAAATTGGGTGCTGTGAACAAACATGTTCTTTTGACTCACTACCTCAGCACAGTCTTGTAGGGTTTTGGGGGGTGTTGTTTTGTTTGTTTTTTTAGAGAGAAAACTCTTGCATCACATCCTCACTCTTCATCAGCATGTTTATCATAGTTTAGCAGATGACAAGACAACAGCAAAACAGCACCCACTGCAATAACCTTGTCAGAACTACAGTAGCAAACAGAATTCTCTACGTGGGCCAGTATTTTTTTTTCATTAAGTCACATAGGTACATAAATCCAGTAGCTCCAGCATGTTCAGTCCTCCCTTGACAGCAACACTGCTGAATCTGAGCTATGACCCCGTCATATACAACAGGGAATGTCTGTAAGTGTAATTCATACTGCTAGGAGTGGTGAGATACCATTTCATGACGCCCTTTAGGTTTATGGCTAGATTTATAAGCTGAGTTAGTACTTCAAACTTTGGTCAGAAGCACAGTTTGGTTACAACAATCTGTGCTCAGGAGTCAGAAGCTAACACCAAGAGCTTGGCAGTGCTAGCATCTCCTACACAACCCAGGAAAGGGAGAGCAATCAGCATTTTAATAATGGCCTCTCTTGAGAGCGCTTTACTTCTGAAAATCAGAAACAAAATTCCCATCGTTTCAGACACCTCAATAAACAGGCTTAAAACACTTAAAAGCACAGTCAATAATTGTAAGTTTATCTGCGGCAAAACAATCTTAAGAGTCTTTTTTACTTTCTATGACAGGCCAATTTAGAATCAGTCTTATCGTTCAATAACATATAGTGACCTTCATCCTATACAAGGCACTACAGAAGTCATTTTAAGGACTCATATCTGAACAAGTTTTCCCAGAGCAGCAGATTGGCTATTGCTCAAATAAATATGTCGGTGTTCCAGTCAACCTGGAATAATCCCACAGTAACATCTCAGATGTGCCTCAGCTTGTTTGTAAATCCATCTTGTCCTGGAGGTTATATTGCACTAAAATTATTAATTTGCTGCAGGCACAAGATGGATTTGCTGTTTACAGAACTACGTGCCATTCATCCAGGGACAGTGCATACAAAAACAAAACAACAAACAAACAAACACCCCACAAACTAAACAAGACTTCTGAGTTTACAAAAATAACTCAGGAAATTTAGCTAGATAGCCCGTACAAATTCCAACCCCATACACTGCACTTGTATTTTGATTAATAACTTATACCCATTGCCTAATACCTTCACAACTTCTAAGTATTTATAACAACCAGCGCTCTCACAATCGTGCTGCTTAGTACAAGCCTTATTTTCCACATCCCAAAGCGTCACCCTTCTCCCCAGGCTGCCTTGGGGCCCGAGTTTTCCTAACCAATGCGACACCCAGCTGCAGATGTTCCCGCGCTCCCTTGCTGGAGGAGAACACCCTCAGCTCCCACGAGCCTCCCACGCGGCTCCAGGGGCTCGGCAGGAGCGGGTTACTGCCCCACGCGTCCAGAACCGGCGGCAAGCGCCGCGTTCTGCAGCTCGCTCCGCGGGCGGCGCTGGCTCGGGACATCCTCGCTTCGAGCGCTTCTCGTGACAGGAAAGGGTTTTGCATCAAGCCATCCGCGCACGATGCGGTGACGAGGAGCCGGTTAGTGCGGGGACCCTCACG